AAGAAAAAAGATTATATTACCTGAAAAAAACGAATACCAAACATTGAATCGCTGTTGGGGTCATAGCTTGTGTTGAATTGAAACAGAATCGTATCGATACTCTTTCTACAATTATATCTAATGCACAGATGCTCTTTTTCTCTTTCGCCGAAAGTCAAGCGACGCAGGATTTAAACTTTTAATACTCAGAAATTTGATATTGCTTTAATATTTTCTCATCTTTTTATTGTTTTCTCCCATAAAATAAGTTCCATCGAAAATAAAGCGCGATAATATCAGCATTTGATTGATATTTGAAAAGAATGAGGTTGTGTGAGAGGGAGTGTGAGTGTGGATAGCATATACAAGTCGCGCACACCCACACCCACTCACCCCCAGATCGTGGTTATGAATTAAATAAAAAACAAATGAATGAACAACATCAGGTCATAGAAACTGGATTGAATGAAGTTATAACAAAAGAAACATTAAGTTATAAAATAAATTATTTCATCATATTAAACAAGTAACGCTCATCGTACAGATTCGCTGACCCTTTTCTGAAAGAAAACTTCCTATGATTATCATTAAAAATAATTTTGATTTTCACTGTATGTTAAGAAAGGGAATCTGGATTGGATCTACTTATCATAAGATCTTAATCGAACATGATTCATTTTTAATTTGAGAAATACACGATCAGTCGTAGCCGTATATCTTATTTTTTGAAAAACTGACCTAATTCAAATAGTTTAAAGAGTTGTGAAGCCGCAGATTCGAGAATTCCTACACTTTAAAAATAATTTGGGTAAAGCAGCCTTAATATTCTTTAACAATCAGAGAAATTGATGCTATGAAAAACATTGATCCTCTTTTCAAATTGTATTTAACAAGTTTAATAGTAGAACTAAACTGGAATATGTTTGAGATCACCTCGAAACATCATTATTTGACAAAAAGATATCCTTTTAAAATGATACCATCCCAGACAGCTCCTAAAATTTTTAGGGTCGTACAGCTATATATGGATTCTAGCTCACGCTATAACAAGCAAATAACGTCATGTTTGCATTTACAAGTCCTTTATTGAATAGGTCTTGTTGCGTCAAATATGTAGTAAAGATTTCTTTTTCGCTCAAGAACCGAACCACGTAGCAATTTCTGATAAAACCTCAAATCTCACTTATTATATTTTCGATAAACCTTTCAAATCAACGTCTAGTCATTCGTCGGCCTCCCTTCAGTCGGCCACTCACGGCTAGCCGTTACCATATATCGTAAATTTTTCCGTCTATCATCTGTTACATTAGGATTTTTGACATACACCAAAACTATTTCACTCATAACATATCGATTCGCAATCGAAACTTACAACTTTTAGATAACATTGCATACTGTCTATCATAGTTTTCAATTTCTTTTTTCCTTTGACACAATGATATTCTGCTGGATTCATTCTCGAATCAGCATTCCTTAAGTGCTTTCAAGAAATCATTTAAACCAACTGAGACTCATTTCAAAACTGTGCTTTAAAACAAACTACAAAATTAACGTCTAGTCGTTCGTCGGCCTCCCTCCGGTCGGCCACTCACGACTAGCCGTTTCCGTGTTTGATCCTACTATCTTCTCCATTCTTAGTTCAGCTTTGAAGTGAAGACTTGCATTTCGTGTGAATTTCTCTTAGAAGGATACTGTGTATTTGATACTATAATTCTCAAGAAGAAACTAAGGAAAGAAGAACTACGTAGTAAGCTGTTACGAATAGAGCACATTACGTTGTGCTATAGCAAACATCTTCATCTACTTCGAATATTATTATACAATTAAAATCTACGACCATTTAACAGTATGATTTCAAGCACCTGCCCTCTTCTTTAAATTATTTGTATAAATTTTACCGAAAAATCCGATTATAGTTATCAACTAGGATGCGGCGGGATAGGGTCTTCTATCTCGATCTTGTTCTCGCGTATTAAAAGTGGTACTCGCCCTGGTCCCATTGAACCCGATTTTTCTGAATCTGTCAGAAACCGTTTTTAAACACATGTCTAGAAAGTGAATACCCACACCTACCGCATTCAACACAAATTTTTCATAAAAAAACCTATTCTTTGTTTAAAAAAATCAAGAGCCAAAAACTTTTAAAAATCTGACCTCAGATTCGCATTCCTCGACCCAAATTACATTTGATCAAAGTTTATAAGGAGAAAATGTTTTTCGTAAAAAAGTAGTCCATTGTGTAAACAAGTAACACTCCTCCGAAGACTCGCTTGGCCCTTTCTCGTAAAAATGCATTTTCTTCACATTTACCGGAAAACAAATGGAAACCGTGAAAAATCAGTTTTCGATGTTTTTTTGACCTTTCACCCACATCCATCCACCCACCCCTAACTATGATCACCCAACAGACCTCAAACTCGAACTC